AGTAGCTAAGAAAATAATTACATTAAAACAACAATTAACATAGTTGAACACATAATTACATCAAAGTATATAAATATAATAATACAGAATATATAATTGAAAACAAAATTTGTTGTATATTTAGTTGCAGAAATAAGCAACGTGTGATTGAAATATTATAATTGAATTAATTACAGTCTTTCATAAATAACAAAAAATTTTCGAAGTATATATAATATAATTAAATTCATAAATAAACTATAAATGTTTTCGTAAATTTGTAATTTTATAAAAGTTAAGTTATATAATCCGAGTAGAAAATTTTATCATTAATAAATTCAAAGAATATAATTTTTATTTTGCATATACCACATGGTGCATAGGTTTTGCATATTTCTTTCATAAATAAATAATTTAATAGAAACGTAATGCATGACCCAATAATTGTGGATAAACGTGAACGATATTTTTGTCATCATTAATATATGTATCGATATTACAAATTTAATTTTTTTTTATTCGTGCATAAATTTCATATTGTGCACGATTATAAAAAGGTATTAACTTTAATTGTTTAGAATTACTTATGTTGTAATTATATTAATCGTTTAAAATTAAAATTGAAAGATACAAATGCTCAGAGGCCATGAGAAATGTTGGTACAGTATTGGTTTAAATTTGAATATGCATCTATAGTGTTATGTGACGTAGAAATGTCGTTTTCGGGAATAAATTAATTTTAATAGGCAAGAGGTATAATATAGCCGGTAATTTAATACTAGAGCCATTAACCTGTCATATTCAACTGAATATACTATATTCAGATGCTAATAATTATCGCGTTTCTGTGTTGATAATAAATATCAAAGTTACTTTTACCAAAAATAGCCGTATGTGTCTTGTATAATCTAAATATGACATAAAAATGTGATATAAAAGTATACATAGGAGTGTAGTATAAAGTAAAGTAAATATAAAAGTATAATATAAAAATAAAATATATGAAATTTTTATTTTGTTCCGTTTAATAGTACCAATGCTAAATAAATGTTTATTTTTTAAATTTTTTCTTAAAATTTATACATGTTGGATAATATAAATATGTTATTCGTATATTTCAATTGTTTGTACATTTGACAATGATTTTCTCCCTTTCTTATAAAGTATAACTATGTAATATATAGGTATATATAGGTCGTAATGAAGTTATAGAATTTAAATGTATTTTTCTATAAATAAAGGTGCATACTTCGCTTTTTCTATCCAGACGTATTTTTGCAACATTTTATGTTAATCAGTATTAAAAAGAATTATTGTAACACACATTCTTCAGAATACGACAAATACATTTTTTTGTATATTGTATTTATAACTTCAAAATTTATGCAATACGGTATTCCATACACCGTCACAAGCTTTAATACTTCAAAGTCTGTGAGTAATGAAACAAGATTCAGTGAATTTAATTTTGTCATTCATAGTCTGAAGTTTTGGCTCTTATTTAGTAGTTATTTCTTGTAACTATTTTAGTAGTTATATTATTGGCTCTTATTTCTCAGAAGAGAAATTGCGAAGTTCTGACTGATATACTTTTAATTATTCGTAGTCATATAAATAGGCAAAGTCTGATAAATATTTTAGTATGAAACAAACCATGAGAACAATATACGATTAAGAGAACATAAGTAACAATAATAGATAAATTTTATTGAAGACAAAAAGTAAAGAAAATTGCAAAAAGAAATACAAATATTAAATAAATAGATTTAGTTACAATAACAAATAATAATAAAAACAACGTGATATAAAAAGATCATAAATGGCAGTAGTATAATACATAAATTTTACTGACAAGATCCAGTATTGGAATTTACAGGATTAAATACAAAAATAATTAAGAAAATACTTTAATTACAAATAGAGTTTGACAGAAACTCTATATTCAAGAGATATCATGAAAATAAACTGCAATTAAAAAATTGTGAGTAATAGTAGGACATAAATTTCACTGACAAAATGCAACAAAGAAACTAGTTGACTTAAATATAAAAGTAAATAAACAGTGAAAATCGTATAAAAATTTTATTACAAAAGTAAACGAAGAAATTTGGACAAATCAGGTTGTAAATAAAAATATGCAGTCCACAAGTGTCACTAACAAATGAAAACAAATAGATCTACAGACTCAAATGCAAAATTAAATAAAAGATGAAAATCATACAGAAATTGTATTATAAAAGCAAATAACGAAAAGAACGTAAAATTGAAAGTAATTAAAAATGATAAGAATTAAATTCATAAATAACAATATAAATATTACTAACAAGTGGAAGCGAAGAAACTTGTAGTATTGAATGCAAAATTAAATACACAGTGAAAATCATACAGAAGTTCAATAATAAAAGCAAATAATAAAAACAACGCACAATTAAAAATGATTAAAAATGATTAAAAATTAGGATAAAAATACTGCATAAAAATAAGTAACAAGTAGAAGCTAAGAAATTAGTAAAATCGAATACAAAATTAAATACACAGTAAAAATGACACAGAAATTTTATTATAAAAGCAAACAACGAAAAACAACGTAAAATTGAAAATGATTAAAAATGATAAAAATTAGGATAAAAATACTGCATAAAAATAAGTAACAAGTAGAAGCTAAGAAATTAGTAAAATCGAATGCAAAATTAAGTACACGGTAAAAATTGTACGAAAATTTTATTATAATAACAAGCAACGGAAAATGACGTAAAATTGATAATGATTAAAAATGATAAAAATTAAAATCCCGAATAACAATAATATGTAAATATTGTTAACAAGTAGAAGCAAAGAAATTTGTAGAATTAAATGTAAAGTTACATAAACAGTGAAAATCGTACAGAAAGTTTACTATAAAACAAAATAATAGAAACAACGTAAAATTAAAAATTATAAACATCAAAATCATTGACAGCAACGGTGCATATCGCTAACAAATAGAACCAACGCAATCTACAGAATTAATGGAAAAAGTAGGCGATGAAAATCGTACAAAAATTCTATTAAAAATTCAGAAATGGAAAGAAAGCGCGAATAGAAGATCGAAAATATCAGCAGTACATAAATTTGATTGTCAGGACAAGAGAAAGATGCTTAGAAGATCATATAAGTTATGTGTTTAGCATCGAGGCCAAGGGATGCCTCTCAAGTTCGGCCAGTCTTCTAACGGCTTGCTTCCGCGCTCCACGTGTGTCTGTCACCGTGTCCGAATACTCCATCCGTCCTCTATCGCTTCGTCGTCCGTTATCAACCACCATTTCCACAAAATTTACCAATTTTCTAATCAACCGTGTCTCCAATCACGAGATCACTGGTTAAATCTCTTTCCGCGACACCGAAATCGCGCGTGAATCTTCGTGTCTGATCACTGAGAGAAGTCTGAGAGAAGAATACAACTGAGTCTAACTGTCTGCAGAGATCTGATGTAACGAAGAAAGAGAAGAGTATCGCGAGAGACTATTGGAATAATGATTTTTCAAAAGTTCACGCGAAGAATCGGGGAATGAGGATCGAAGAGTGAGATAGTTTTTTGGAAAGAAGAAATGGCAAAGTTGGAAAAACGACTGTGCACCAGTTCTGAGTTTATGCTTGGTGGATAGAAAGGCAGAAAGTCAGCAAGATGTACCTTGCAGAGCCACTGTTTTCCACTCGACCGCAAGAACTCAGTGGCGAGGAATCTTCCGGGGATAATCACGAGGAATGTGACGAAGAAAAAGATACAGTGACATTGAATATTGTTCCCTCGCGTTTCTGATATTTTCTGTGAATGTTTTTCGACAATTCCATGGTACACGAATCTTTGGAAAAAGTTCTACAGTGTGAAATTTTTCAAGCTAACTGCAAGTATCTTTCATGTTCGTTTAACGAATTAATTTATGGAAATTTGTAATCTTTCGGAGAAATACTCTATACATTGCTCCAAGTAAAATCAAATTCCGAGGAATACGATTTCTGAGACATAATTGAGATATGTTTTTTCACGTCAATTTTCTTCAGCGAGGACAAAGTTCACGTAAAGAATAGTTTTGCAAATTGATTAAATTAAAAGAGTGTGGAAATTAACGAGACCTTTGACTGAAAGAGAATTCAGGAACTGAATATTCTACTTCATTTTCTGAATTAATCACACGCGAGTTTTTATTTAAAAACATCAGTTGATGTAATGTTTTAGAAGTTGTTTTACACGTTGTTTAAGATTAATTTGAAGAGTGTTGATTGTTAATGAAATTTCCAAATTTCTGACTGGTACAGAATATATACCTAATATCAAATATTTTAGATGTTTCGTGGAAATTATTCCTATTTGAGCTATACTTCGAAACGTCCAATTACTATAAATATAATTTCGAGTTAGTTTCAAAAGCAGGTGTCATTGTATATTCAACAACTTCTTTCGTCTGAAACTAAGATAAAGTTCCTAAAACTGATTTTGTTATATCAGTAATAGAGTTATAGTAGTACAGTAGTCACCCTCAACCCTTATACCTATGATTAGCTTCATCTTGAACTTGAGGTACAATAAGTCTTCACCTATTAATCTCAACATTTACCACTTTTCTTCTGGCAAATATAATCTTTTAATTAACAATTCTTGAACTCCGGTCATATTTTAACAATCGATTCTGATTATTTCGAGATCATTCGTTTTAATTTAAAAAAATTCTTCAACTACTCTAACTTTGACAATCCTCATCGCAACTGCTAAATTTAATTCCACATTTTCTATTCTAATCATTTCGAGAGTTTAAACTTCAAAATACTTGTCAAACGACAAGCTATAACCACGACGAATTCTCACTTGAGAAAACCCTTATTTACTCGCAAAAACGGATCTGGATCTGCTCGGCGAAGAAGAAGACACCTGTCTTCTCAACGAGGAAGATTCTATCACCTGGAAAGTTGGCCATTCGCGCATAAAAATGCCCCTGCTAGTGAAAATGATCGACGTTTTCGGATCGTTGAGATCTCTGTTCAAGATCCAACGGCTCTCGGAGGATACGCTAATATTTCGACTGCATTATCGCGCGACAGTGGCGCTACTCCTCGGCGGATGCGTGACGCTTGCCTGCAAGAGCATTTCCGGTTCCCCGATTCACTGCGAGGCCTCTGGTTCCGTGGACAAAGTTGTTCTCGAGACTTTCTGCTGGCTCCATACCACGTATAGCATGGTGCACGCGTTCAACATGAGTCTGGGCCAGGCAGTGCCCTATCCTGGTGTTTCCAATAGCAAAGGCGATGGATTGAACGGGAACGTGCCGCATCCGTTGGTCAAACAGCACAAATACTATCAGTGGGTCATCTTCTTTCTGCTGTTGCAAGTACGAAGAATTGAGTTTTCATGCTAGATGTTTGAGTAGTGGTTAGAAATATTATCTTAGATGCTTTCTTTTGTACAGATGAAAGCAATATTTAGGTATTTTGTATTTTATAGTTTATAGTTTTGTATTCAATGTGATGTATTTTATAGCTAGGTTTCTTTGTAGTACGTATAAATAAATTAGATATGAACGTCTTTTATTGAAAAATAGTTATGTTATAGATGGATAAATAGGATGCTTACTTATGTTTGTTAACACTAGATTTACGGAACTCGTGAATTTGACGGATTTGTTGCTCCAATTATACGATGGTAACAAATTTAGTTAACTTATATTAAGACTATTAACCCTTTGCACTCGAGAGGTGAGCTTCAGTCACCATTTCATAAAATTTGGAAGATCGATATTAATTAATATATCAAATTTAAGGTAATGTAACTGTGTGCGAGGTATCGAAATTAAATAATTCTACCTGTTAATTATTATACGATTTGTTACTTACTGCTAGAAAAATATTATCAGCCTTAAAGCAAAAAATTTTTCAACTCGTATACCTGTTTAATCAAAAAATCGTCGAGTGCAAAGGGTTAATATTGTAATTATTTTTAAATTAAACTAATTGTTAAAAAAAATGACACGTGGTTTCCTTTACCTGTCAATTTGACAGGTGTCAAATATGTAGAAATAGGTATACAGATAGTGTCTGTAAACCTAGTGTCAAGTATCTGGATGCTTGTGAACGACTGTGTACGTTTTATTGGATATTAGTTTTCAAACTTTATATTTAAGAATTGTGCTTGGTATTTATGTTTGGACGTTGAGAAAATTGAATTCTTTCTCTATGTTTTATGAAATTATTTCGTTAAAGTCATATTCGACATTAACACGATTTTACGTGTCCTATAATACTTCAAATATTATTATAAATATCACATATTATAGAACATAATTTGTTCTGTTTCAAGTAAATCATTTTAGCGATAGAAATAATTAATTAATAAAAAATAATTAGTACCGGTTTCTCCGACATCTTCAGAAGATTTTTGTTTTCTTAAATAGTACAATATTTAATTTCTTATTAAATATGTAACTCATTTTGAGATTACTTTATTGGCATAAAGTTTGGAATAAACCATCCAGGATCATTTAAGATGATTCTTGATTGTTTGAAATATGTACACTTGAAAAATTAAAAATTTTGTTTATATCAGTTAATGCATTAACCTGAGTATTGATTTAAATTTAAGAACAAACAAACGAGAAATGAAAAGTTATTATATATGTTACATATTATATAACATAATTTGTTCTGTTTCAAGTAAATCATTTTAGGGATAAAAATAATTAATTTTTAGTACCATAGTACCGGTTTCTCCGACATCTTCAGAAGATTTTTGTTTTCTTAAATAGTACAATATTTAATTTCTTATTAAATATGTAACTCATTTTGAGATTACTTTATTGGCATAAAGTTTGGAATAAACCATCCAGGATCATTTAAGATGATTCTTGATTGTTTGAAATATGTACACTTGAAAAATAAAAAGTTTTGTTTATATCAGTTAATACATTAACCTGAATATTGATTTAAATTTTAAGAACAAATGAATGAGAAATGCAAAGAATAAAAAAAAGGACAGATTGAAAAACAAAAGAATTTTACAGGAGCTTTAAAGTGTAATTTAAAAACTTTAGAGTTTCGACTTTAGACTTTAAAATCTTATACTTTAAAACGAAAAATTCAATTGAATTTTTCCATAAAATCGTGATGCATTTGTTATTAAAAATGTATTTGTTTTAATAAATATGATATTTTGTATGCATGCATTTGTGAATCATTTAGAAATCCTACACGTAAGAAGAACTACACTATACAAATTTATGTTAAATGTCGTTCTAAAGCTTTAATTTGACGAATTCTCTATTAAATCAAATTAAATTTGGCATAAGTGTTATTCACCGGATTAAAGAAAACAATATTTTGTAACATAATAAAGATACATTAAAACATAATAAAGATTTTTTAATCGAGACATTAAAATTAAAATTTCCCTTACATTTTTCCCGATATGAATTTAAATTTGGAAAGTGTACAACAAACGTTGTTGAAAATATTAATTTTGCATTTCGTGGGAGTTATGTAAATATTGACAATTGATAAATCAATGATAATTTATGTAATTCGGGGTTAATGATATCTGAAAGTCAGACAGGGATTAGTTGAAAAATAGCGTCTTAATAATGCTATTGAAAATAATTCTCGATGAGAAAACAGGAATAGCGTTTTAAACGAAAGTAAGCTTCTCTGTCATTATTTGTTATTTGACTTAAATAGGAAAAGTAAATGAAGCAGACGAATGGGTTCTGCACGAGTAAAGACGAATGGAGATACTTTACTTTACTTCGCTTTTTACTTTAAAGAAACAAGATTTAAGAGAATAAACAGTATTCAGTTTTAGGTCGTATTATTTGTTTCACTCGAAAAGCAGATGATATATGACAATAAAGATTAACATACAAAGCACGTACCAAAGTTATGTCTTTATTCGAAGAGAATAATGATGTTTGTTTTTGGTACTTATATACAGAACATTCATTACCATTTTTCACATTTTTTACTTAACCTAATATTAGAAATACAATGGAAATATATTATAAACAAATAAACAAGGAATATATCGTAAACAAATAGCAAGTGAAATTTATAATGAAATTACAATTACAACAAAGAACATGTTATAAACAAATAGATATATTGTATATAGAATTCATAGTGGGATTGCAATCGCTATAAGAACTTAACAATGAATAAACAAATAAAATTAATTAGAAATGTATAGTGATATTACAAATACAATAAGAGTATATAATGCAGAAATAGATAAAAGACACGTGGGATTCGTAGAGAATCAACTGTGAATGAATGAATGGGAATCAATTTTATTGTACGTTAATACAAAATTTTGTATATCGAAAATGATCGTGATCAAAAAATTTCGAAATCTAAAACATGAAATCATGTCGAACCATTAACGGATTTTATACAAATAAATTGTTTCTGAATTAAGAAAGTGTGAAAGCAATATTTGAAAAATATTTGAATTTTGGAATTGATAATTTTTTGTGACCTTAAATTAACGAATTAGAGAAGATACGTAGCAAAGTCGATGTTCGGAGATATAAAGAACGATGTTAAAAATTTCATATAAAGATGTAGAAAATAAAAATAAGGATGATAATATAAAAAATATAAAGATATTAAAGATATGCAAAGGTATCTAGAAATATGATTGAAGTATTCTTTCATTAAATATCTAATTAAATAATTAATTAAAAGTTGAATTTCATAATTACTTGAAAGCTTTAGTTAAGAAGATTATATTCGATTTGCACCTTGTGGTAGCTTATACTTGTTAAACAATATTGGAACATGGATGTCGCCAATTATTTAATTTATCTATTTGTAAATAGAACTATAATTGTCTATCATGAGGAAAAATTAAAAGGTTGAATGTAGGGTTCCACTTTAATTTAAAATTTGGATTAAATAAATATAATGGTAAGCTAAAAATTGCTATAATTAAATTATTTGATATTAATATTATAATGGTATAATAAAATATAGAAATATAATAATATAAATTAACAATGGAATAAAAATCGAATAAATTTTAATAAAGCTTTGTACTTTATAAAATCGAAGAAAAAGATGAAATAAAATAAAATTAAAAAATCAAGGATATTATCGGTATATTAGTAAAATATAAGAACACGATACTAATCAAATAAAATGGAATTTAATACACAAGATCATATGAGTACATAACTTTAAAAATCATTAACTGTTATAAATAGGTCATTTAGCATAGTGTTAAATTAAAGTACAAAAGTACAGTAATAATGAAATGAAATATAATTAAGGAACTATACATATATGCTTATGTAATTTAAAAAAATTAATAAATATCATAAGTGGATCGTTTGGCGTTAGTATAACGGTATATTATAATATAGGAATACAGCAATGACGAAAAAAAAATAAAATTTTTAAAAATTGTCATAAATGGGTCGTTTGGAGTAAGCATAATTGTATATTAAAATACAGCAGTGCAATAGTGATTAAATAAAATGAAATTTAATGCATAAGATTATATGAATATATAGCTTGCAAATCGCATGGCGTTGAAAAGGATCATCACACAAATGACGAAGGTTAAGTCATCTGGAACCCATATAAAATGACCATGTAGAATTCTTTTATTTTTCTATTAATTCAAAGCTCTTACTGCAACATGCTCATTATTTTCGTTCACCTACTTAATTTGGCAATTTTTATTACGAAATTTGACACTAATGTTCATAAAAGCAACGTATTGCAATTTCGTTAGCATTAAAACTACCTGTACTATAAAACTATATGTACCTAGATATATGTATTTAATATTAATTAAAATGGTATAATAAAAATGAAAAAAAACATACATAATTACAGTCCCATTTGAACAACATTAATTCTACCAAAAATAGCTGCACGGTTTCAAATTTTCAACAATTTTAAAAATGAGAAGCATGCAACAAGTAATTTTTACTCCTTTGGTAATTCCAGTATTAAATTCATAATGAAAAAGAGCTATAATAAAAGAACAAATAGCGCAATTTTAATATTTCTTCAAAATATTTGATTACAACAAAATGAAAAATTTATACAAATATATGAAGAGCTATGATATTGTTTAAAATTGAATTTTTCTTTAATAACCAATTTTATCATCGATAACATCAACTTTGTCATTTATATTAAAAGTATACAAAATTCCATTTTGAAAAATGAATCGTACAAAGACAATTTCTCGTACTTTAAGAATTTTTATTATCCAACGAATATCATCGATCACATCCACTTCGTCATTCTCAATCTTTTACTATTTCCATTGAAGAATATCCAAAGAATAAAAATAGAAAAAAGAAAATTAAAATAGAAAAGAAATAAATATAAGAAG